GGAATGTGGGAAGAGCTTCAGGCAGAGCTCCCACCTCCTCAGGCACCAGCACATCCACACTGGGGCATGGCCCTACACGTGTGGGGAATGTGGGAAGAGCTTCAGGAGCAACTCCAACCTGATCCGACACCAGCTCATCCACACTGGGGAACGACCCTACACATGTAGGGAATGTGGGAAGAGCTTCAGGGACAGCTCCAACCTCCGCAACCACCAGCTCATGCACACTGGGGAACAGCCCTACATGTGCTTGGAATGTGGGAAGAGCTTCAGGGACAGCTCCACCCTGATCCGACACCAGCACATCCACACTGGGGAACGACCCTACAAGTGCTTGCAATGTGGAAAGAGGTTTAGGACCAGCTCACATCTCCTCCTGCATGAGCGGATACACACAGATGAGAGGCCCTTCCGCTGCACCGACTGCGGGAAGGGCTTCAAACAGAACTCCAACCTCGTCACCCACCAGCGCATCCACACCGGGGAGAGGCCCTACAAGTGTGGGGAGTGTGGGAAGAGCTTCACCCACAGCTCTACCTTGACCAGACACCAACGGACCCACCAGTAAGGGAAACCCTAGGAGTGCCCCAACTGCAGGAAGAGCTTCGGCCGCTGCTCCCACCCCGAATGACCCCCCTGATGGTGAGGCAACCCCTGGAGTCCAGTGACTGTCAGTCCATCCCTTTCGACCACAAAGGGCCAGTCCCCTTTGCCAGGGGCAGGTTGTGCCAACAGAACCCTTCTTGAGGGGTGTGTGGAGATTCCTGCCTTGGCTGGGACCCCCCAAGGTCACTGCTGGAGGTTGAGAGCAGAGATCTCCCCACGAGCGTTGGTCTGGGGGAGTTCTATCCATCTCTAATTCATAATTCTTGCTTTGGTGCCAGCTTGAGTAGAATTGCTTCTATAATTGCTTTAGTGTAGAGCACTGTCCTATCTTATCCTGTACTACTGGTAGTTTTAGTTTTTCTATTGTGCAGTAAATAATTCTGATGAAGATCTTTTCTCTGATCATTAGATACAGGTTTATAGTTTTTTTTAAGTTTAGGTCTGGGGTTCAGTATGGACGAAGATACCTCCCACTTCAAAGGTGCACACACAGAAAGCTCTTGCTCTTTGTGTAGTGCCGAGCATGACACAGCAACTGCACTGCAGAGACAGAGGTTCAGGGCTTGCTTTCCCAGGTGCAATGCCACTCGTTTGCTTGTAGGGGCTGGGCTGAAACTGCCATCTGACAGCCAAAATTCCATAAGGACGAAGAAAACTCCCTGACCAAAGGTGCTCACACAGATGGCTCTTCCTCTTTATCCAGTGCCGAGAGAGGTGCCCCAACTGCACTGGGTAGGTGGTGAGTCAGGGTCAGGGTGAGTGTTCGGGGG